ATGCCCATGGCCACAGAGACTGGCAAAACATTAGGAAGAACAACCTTCAGAACACAGCCAAAGAGCCTGAAAAATCCACAACAACCACCTCCATTTATTGTAAAGGAGAGCATACAATAAACTCATTCAGTGACACATTTCTCCTTCTTTCTTTCTCTCTTTCTCTCTCCCTGCTTATTTCCTCCACTGTCAGCTTCTCTTTCCTGTAGACTCACCAGTACTGCACTCCGAAAAATCCACAACAACCACCTCCATTTATTGTAAAGAGGAGTATACAATAAACTCATTCAGTGACACATTTCTCCTTCTTTCTTTCTCTCTTTCTCTCTCCCTGCTTATTTCCTCCACTGTCAGCTTCTCTTTCCTGTAGACTCACCAGTACTGCACTCTACTTAACCTTGTGGGCATGTTATAAAAACAAGATTCCCTCCTGCTATATATAAGTTAATTGGTGTGCTTGGTGAGCTGTAAAAGTGATGAGAAGTTTTACAACAAAGCTTAAAAGTTGACCCTTCTAGAGAGGCATAAAATAACAGAATTCTACTGCATCCTATACTGTTCTGGACTTCCTGTCATGTGGACATGTTGAGATACACTCAAGGGATTCTTTTTCATGCATGCACCAGGAAATGAAGACATGTCTGTCCATTTTGAATGCATGCTGCTTTAGCAGGGTGGCCAGGACAGTGTGGGGATTCTGTTGGTTTAGTTAGCTACTTCTCTACCCAACATTCTTTCTTTCCTGAGATAATTAGGTTACTCTCTGGTGTGATGTTGTGCTTCTACCATCTATTGTTCTACACTGTTGTTGAAGATGCTGAGATAACACATTCAGGGGTAGCTCGAGATTTCATGTCTGCCATGATAATCACAGACGTGTTCCCAAGTAGTAGCTGGTTCTCTTCTGATGGAGCAGTCAGTCTGAAGAGGAAGGGGTTATATGTGATCCTGTTGTCAAGGGTGAAATTGCAACCATAGTAGTTCCATGTGATTCAATGGAATTTAAGGAGTTGACTCACCCAAACACCACTGAGTCAGTGGGCCCACTGGAGAGTGATTTAAAATGCTAAGCAACAGAATGTTGGCCAGTACTATATCTAGTTTGGTCCTCAGTTTCTCTGTTGTGTTCTGCACCGTCCCCTGGATCCTTCCTCTGGATGACGACCTTACACTGCAGTACAGATGCCACCATTACTGAAGGACACAGCCATTTCACACAACCCCCAGAAAACAGGAAAGCCCTTGAGCTGTAGATATTACACAGTCAATGATTCTCTGTGAGAAGGGCTTTGAGGACTTTGAGTGAGACATTTAATAAGTGCTTCGTGGAGCTGTCCTTTCCTCTTTCTCTCACTTTCTCTGTGTCACTCGCACACACGCACACGCACACACACGCGCGCACACACACGCACAGAGCGAGTTAAATCCGATATTGCAATACCACAGTTTCTCACACTGCAGGCGAGCAATCATCTGCCTTGTTTAATTGTATTTATTGAATGACACCAGCCGACCCCCCCTGCTGTTTAAAATCTGACTTCTCACATTTTGTTCAGCGCAGAAGCCTCTACAATTTTACAAATGGATGGCACACAATCCATTAGCATTTTCGGGAGCATTAGCGCCTGCACAAACATGTCCAGAGCCTCTTATTATCTGCCTTTTTACACTTGTAATAACATTCAGGTTGAAATTGGCTTCTACCTTGTCACTGAGCCTTTACTTCACTCCCTCAGTTTTCGGAAAACAACCATGAGGATACAAACAAAAATAGAAAGTCATCCTGATGACTTATTTTTAAAAAACATTGGAAATACAGCATGAGGCGCACAGGGGAAAAGCAACTTTGAAGGAGAAAAAAGTTCCCCTTGGATCTGTGACCTCACAGAAGTCACTGTAATGCTGCAGCGACAGCTACTTGTCTAAAACGCAACAAGATCTACAGGGAGATTATGGAGGGCAAAAGAGACATAGATCTCAGTAACTAGAAGAAGAAGGTTTCCTGTAAAATACCAAACAGTACCCTCAGGGCCTGACTAGATGAGAAGCTTTCGAAGTGGTAGTCGTGTTAGTCTGTGCAAGCATAGCAACAAGAAACACAACAAATCACAAGCAAAAACATAAAGAAGACAAGAGCGTTGTGGCATCTTAAAGACTAACTGCTTACGTTGTAATTTGAGCTGTCAAGGAACAAGTCCACATTTTCAGACATACGATGGAGAAATTTATCAACTCACTCTTATGTCACTCTTATAAAGAGAACAGTATGAATTTGTGGACCCCAGCACCTTATCGATTAGCCGCAATTAGCTACAGCAAGTTATTCAAACCTTATGCAGACACATTTAGACTCCATTGACTCCAGTTCAACAATCACTTGTGGCTTCAGGTACTCTGATAAGCACAGCGAGTGTTGAGGTGTTCATTCAGACATGTGGAACATTGGCCATTGCCAGCTAACCTGTTCCTTCCGGCTTCCTTACCAGGACAGACATCTTCCTTATCCATGAATGTGTGAACGCTTGTCTGCTTCTGTGCGTGCTGGCATGTGGCACCGACTTTGCACTTGAACACCCATTTTGACCCTGATGCGGTTCGATATGTGTTGCTGCGCCTTTTCTGCCCCACCAGGTACCATGGATGCCGACCATCACTGTACACACGCAGAACTTCTCTGCCTCCCAAGCCTTGGTGGGGCAGAACTGTGGGTATCATTGGCATCAATCAGGAAATTTCCTTTTCTTTGTGTGAAACCTGTAAAATCATTTATTGCCTTGATTGTGACTAAGTTATACATTTTTTTGGGGGGGGGGAAGCCCTTTAGATTTATTTATGATGAGCAGCCATTCCCTTCAACAAATATTCTCACTATTCAACAAAGAGTGTTAAACAGAAGTCCTTACTCAACCTGTTAATCTCATTATCATTTAATAATTTAAAAGCAACTTTTTAAATCATTGTTAATTTTTTTAAAAAAAAATCCCATGCTCTGGCCAGGACAAGATGGAGAGTGACTGATGGATGTAATGTGACATTAAATGACATTAAGTGACATAATGATGAAATGCTACCCACAAACATATTTGAAGCATTGTCTTTGATGCACACGCAAGGCACATCAGGACCTGATAGCAAATCTGGCCTTCCTGAGTTCCAGCTCGGGCCCTCAGGTTCCCTGGGTGAAGGCCGGCTTCACCGTGACACCATTATCTGGTAGGTTCCCAGCTTTTGTGGGTTTTGCTTCCATTCTTAATAGGGCTAGCAAGTCAGCAACACCCCATCCCTCAAGATTTCATGGGTACGAGTATGACGTGGAACATAATGTCACAGGCTTACGTCCTTGTGATGTCACAGAAGGAAACAGAAAAGGACTGGAGGGGAAGCAACCACAGTACACATGGTGCTGAAGCAGCGAAGCCTGGCATGAGCTAGGTAGAGAGCTGCCCAGGCTTTGAAGCTATCCCACACATGAAAACGAAGCTTTCTTTTCCTCCCATCCTGCTCACCCCAACATTGTCCCCCACCACCTGGATAAACAGAGAAGTTCCTATGGGGCTATCTGGGGTGGGAAAGCTCCCCACCCCCACAGTCTGCCCCCACCGTCTTCCCACTGCCACTTACCTGGCCAGGCTGCCTACTCCTACTCTGTGGCGGCTTCTGCCGAAACAAAAGCTAAACCGCTGGAACTGCAGTTTCCGTTTCAGCAGCCTAGCTTTTGCTAGGAGGAGTGGGGAGGGTTAACTCAGGCGATTCTCCCTACTGGTGGAGGACCACTTCAGTCGGGCTTCCCCCATCTTTCAATTCCCCAGGTGGGCATAGAAAGAGAGGGGAGGTGGGCCCCAAGCGATCCCCCACCCTACTGTCTTTGCAAAGACATCCCAGTTCATTTGCAAATATAGCAATTCATTTTTATATCTGTCCCCATGTCTAGTTGAAACTGTTCTATGCATAAGAGATTTAAACAAAATGTGCTGGGGCTGGACATCATTTTTCTTGTCTCTGTCCACCATTGGACCCTGACCTCCTCCTGGCACACACATTTCTTCTTGGATTGAATTCAGGTCTTCAGCCAAAATTCAGGCCTTCAATCCCTTGTTTTAGCAGCTAGAGAAAATTAATAAGTGAGGGTGCCAGGCGTCATCTTGAGACTCTGCTCATGCAGATAACTCACCTTCATCATCAAATCAGCCATTTCTCCCTCTCCCCTCCTACACCTTCACAATTTGTGTCATCTTGCCTGATGAAGTGATAGGAAGATCTTGAGTCTTGCCGTTTTGGTACCTTCCGATTTGACTTAAACTTATTGCACTAATATGGGTTTGAGGATGCTAACATTGTACCCCATGTTCAGCCTTTGAATGAGAAAGCAAATATGATGAAGGGAAAAGATAAAAATATGTTTACTTCAGAGTCATGTCCTGGCAATATTTAGCTGCTATATATGAGAAACGTGGACTGGGTTTTGAAGGACCTTGTCACCTAAGGGAATTAATGGCTGTATGATGCTCATAAAATACAGGGATATGCTGTCATTCCTTCTCACAGCAGCAAAAATAAAACTTGCAACAAATAAAACAAAATGAAAGCATGATAAAAATTCCATCAGCAGTTATATAAACTGTGGGAAGCTCATGTTGTAGATAAGCTTTCACTCTGAATGTAAGCAGGCGGAGGGCCATGTTAATTAGGAAGAATGTGGACGTGTGTAGCTTAAACAGAAGTTAAAGAGGCACTGGCTACTAACAAGCCCCAACATTTTATTTTTGCATTTGTGTATTGAGCTTCGTTTTTAAAATACAATAAAAGCTGCCTGTTATATCATGAAAGATCTTGAAGGTCTACTAGGTTGGTGCTAGAAAGATAAACTAGACAAAGCATGAATTTAAAGGGACTTATTCTCAGGTAAACACACTAAAAAATACATACTTTCTGTGCATGTCCACCAAGTAGCAACCCTCACTGTTTTTAATATGATTTACTTAGTGGTATAGTAACAAATTTGGAAGTGCCAAAACCCATAATCCCAGTCCCACCCAAAGGAGAATCCAATAATGGCAGCAACTGGAACAGATTCTAACAATAAGAGAGTTCTAGCAATGCTTGTTTCCAGGAGAACCAGGTCCTTTGTAATACTGTCTCTTGCACCCCTCAGAGGTCCAGGTCCAATGGAGCAGCTGGCTGTTGCATGTTCCCCATATCATTGGCATCAGACTCCTTCTCCTTCGAGAATTCATCCAACATGAACACGATGGGGGGGAGGGGTTCACTGCAGCAGCCTGCCTTTGTGAGCTGCATTTGTCACCCTTCCTTTAAATGCATTTTTAAAACAACTAAGATTATGGAAACTGTGGAGTGGTAAATTGAATGAGTGAGTGAGTGAGTGAGTGAGTGAGTGAGTGAGTGAGCTAGCGAGCGAGCGAGTGAATGAATGAATGAATGAATGAATGAATGGAGAACAGGACTGTCAGATCAGCAGCATCCCATTCTCTAGGATGTCAGGTCCACAATCAGAGTTGGGGGGTGGGGGATAGAGCCTTCTGATGGCACGGGGGTGAGGCTTTTATGCTGAAGACACCAGAGCTGCCTTGCTCAAATGGCATGAGGGCTGCAACTGCATGCATTCCTTCTTCCTTACTCCTAGTTCTTTGAGGCACTGATGTTGTACAGATGTAGCATACATAAAAAACAACTTAACACTGAGCCCGTGAGCCCTGGGACCAGCAGGCTTTAAAGACCCAGGCTTTTAAAAGTCACCTCATGCACACATTTTAAAACATTTTCCTCCTACAGCATGATTTGCCCTGAGATTTGTCTCTCTCCCTGCAGAAATGTGGTAATTCCTGGACTCTCCAGCCATACTCTGATACCTGGCAACATTAACTGGGAGATTTATGTGGGTAGATTTTACCATGTTATTGTAAGTAGGAGCAAAGGAAGTCTACCTATGAACCCAATAATTCTTCACACTTTTTCTATATGCAGTTCATATCCAAGGGGCACCGCACAGCAAAGGATGTGTCTGGTTCGATGAATACCTAAGGCCTTGTTGACACGTGCATATAATTAAGGTGCTGGAGGCTGTGGTTTCTGTACAAGTCCTCCTGTCCCAGCGCACACATAGTCATGAGTCAAGAGGACTTCTTGAGTGACACATTGTTCATAATATGACTGTGTTCTGAAACTTGAACTTGACCCTTACTCTGCCCTTTGATGCCTGAAGGATGTATAGAACTGGCAGAGAGCTGTTTGCCCACTAGGAGGCCCCTCGGGCACCTGTGGTTCCCCTTCTCTGGCACGTGTATTATTTATGAACTGTGGGATGCGATCTCTAAAGATGCTCAGCTATTAAGTAGTGCACTCCAGGTGACGATTAAAGTTGCCATACCATACAAAACAAAAGAATTGGCATATTCATAGCTTGAAAAAAGTTACTTCCTTGAACTGTAACATCCCCAACAACTCTTTGGGAGTCACGCTGGCTGGAAGCTTCTGTGAGTTACAATCCAACAGAGCAACTTTTTCAGCCTCTGGGCATGCTGCGTTTGTCTTGAAGTTGAACTTAAATATGTTGAATCTGAAATCCTGTCACTTTGAGCAGTAAGTCACACTAGAGTAAGCACAGCAAATTAACAGATTCAGTGAGTAATATTCATTCAAGTGGGCCAAATCTACTTGCAATTAATACTACACTAAAGTAATATTACACAACTGGCTTGATAGCTCAGTGAGTTGGGTTTCTGGTTGTGGAGCCAGAGGTTGGGAGTTCAATTCCCCACTGGGTC